CATAAAGATTCACAAAACGAAGGAAAAAAGGAAATAAAAATCATACATAGTGTCATCTTCAGTGTCAGTTAATAGCTTCCAATTCATAAAGACAACATTAAATATGTAATAAATAGCCCCTTATATTTTCTCCTAGTAATTTTATGGTTGGAATAATTGCATTTAAATATTTAATTGACCTGAGTTTACTCTGGTTTTTGGTGTGAAATAGAATTAAACTTTTCCTGCAATGTTTGGCTAATTGTCCTAACACCAGGCTCTGAATAACCCCTTCTTTGGTGATCTGAAATGCCACCTTTACCAAGTTCTTATGTAGAATTGAATACTCTCAGATTTTACCCTCTCACACCTATTCTTTCGGAGACCTTAACATGCTCAGAAACTCCTCAATTACGGAGTAAACTCCCCACCCTCAACCTTCAGCTCAAATGTTGTCTGTCCTGGGGAGACTGTGTCCCACTGTCTTTTGTCTACAACTCCACGGTAGCACCCAGCTCCATATTTTCAGATTCTATTAATATTTTCTATGAAGGCAGATACTGTATCTCAAATTCATCTTCTTATCCCTCACATCTGGGTAATGTGTCTGACACATGCAATAGGCTCTCAAAAGATCGTCTCCAAGTAACAAATCTTCCCCAACCTATCCCTTCCTATCTATGTGAGCAATGGATGTATGAATTGTAAAAGTCAAGAAAAAAATGCCCTAAGGTTTTTGTGTTCTATTGTTTTAAACGTTGACTAGAATTGCATTTCATTTTACCATCTCCATTTTAGAGACTTGTAAGCTACTAATTTTATGTTTCTCACCAATACTTCCCTGTTTTATTCCTATTGTTAATTACTTGAAATTCTCATGACACGACCCTAAGGAAACTGTTGTCCATAGATACCCAAGAGAATCCTGCTTTTTCAGTCTCCCTCCCCGGCCGAGTCCCATGCTGAAGACTTGGCCCTTTACTGAGCAGACATTTCTTTGGCGTAAACACTACCTTACCAAGCCCAATGTGCCCAATGACTGGCCTATGTGCAGAACGGAAGCTCAGGACCCTTCATCTGTCATCTGTAGGCGCTTCCAAGCCAAAGGAACTTGCTGTAACCTAGTCCTAGATATGGACACACCAATTACTGAGAGTAATGATCTGAGTTAATGCCTTGTGACAACTACAGGTTCAGTTGTTCTCAGAAAGTAATGTTTGATCAACCAATGGCACCTTGCCATTCCAAAGAGAAGATATATATATAGAGAGAGAACACAGAAACACCAAAGGTAGGTGGAAAAAAGCCAAAACTACATAAACACTCACTTCAGTACTGGAGCCAGGGGGAACAGTTAAATGATTGTGCACGAAGTGGCATTCTATACATTGGGAACAGATGAACAGATGAGCCCACTCTACTTTGGATTAGTATCATGGCTAAAGGCACAACTCCAACTGATATAGAAAAAAAAAAAAGAGTTTAAGAACTAGGGATTATGAAAAAAGCTGGGGGAAGTGAGAGCTGCTGTCCCTGGAGAAGAAAAGACAAGGGAAGTTGTGATAGCTGTCTTCAAATACTTGGAAGCTTATCACGTTTAAGAGGAAATGGATTTGTTCAGTCATTTCTCCAGAGGTAGAACTAGACCCACTGGGTAGAAGTGACAGGGAGGCCGACTTCAGGTTCCAACAATAAAGCACTTTTTACTTAGAGCTTGTCAACAAAGCAGCAGCCCGTCTTGTGAAGGAGGCTGGTACACACACACACATTGCCTAGAGAACCCTACGTCAGGGATGCTACAGAAGGAGTCGGAATTAAAGGAAGATTAGACCAGATGACCTCCAAGGATTCTTCTAAGACTATTTGCTTCTGATCTTAAACTTAATTATAAATGAGTTAGCCTTTAAATTAAAAAAAAAAAAAAGTGTTCATGAACCAGAATTTTGAGAGGTATCAACCACACATTTACACTGCCCACTACTGCCTTTTAATAATGTGAATTTAATAAGATTAAAATCAGCTTGATCTTCCAAGATTCATGATTAGATAATATGTTTTTCTGTCTTCAAAAGGAGCTGGTTAAATAAGTTAGCTGGTTAACCTCAGCTAATATGTGAATGTCAGCCATCATAGCTTATAAAATCCAACATTGCACAATAAAAGGCTTAAAGACACATACGAAAAAACTCCATTAGTGTATCTGAAAATAAAACCCTGCTTAGGCTTATTGAGTAGCCATGACAATGAGGGCTTGAAACCTTCTTTGCATAACCCTAAATTCAAGCTCTGAGGCAATGTTGTTGAGAATACAGATTGTGATTCAGTCCATCCCAGCTGCAGATGAAGCAGGCCAGAGCTGAGCAAGAGCATCCTCTAGCATATATCCATTGTCAGCATGGGCTCTGTCACCAGCAAGCTCCTCCCTGCTTCTCAAGACTTAGAACATTGTCACTTGGTTGCTTGCTTGCCTGCGAGAGTCTCAGTTCCTGCTGTCTCCAAACCTGTGCCCAAATCCACATCAGAACCGAACAGAAAGGCATTAGGTCATCTTTGCAGATCCTGATGGAAACCCAGTCCTTCCTATTTTTCACTCTTGAAGGTAAATATGCTTATCTGGGAGTTTCTAATTGCTTTAGGGAAAGGCAAACACAAATGATAAACTTTATACAAAGAAAACAGGGTTGAACAAGAGAAAGGGGCCTTTGTACTTGGCAGGGGAAATGAAGGAGATGATGGAAAATGATATCAGAGCTCTAACACGCAGAGCACGGAGGAACATAAACACATGCAAACAAACCGACCTGAAATTCTGCATGAACTGCCGGAACTTGTCCACCCTTTTCGCTAGCGGCACGATCACGTTGATAAGCGTGTTGGCCATGTTGAGTTTTTCTTTTTTCACTTTCATGATAGGGCCAAACGGTCGAAACAAGACAAGTCGTTTGAATTCATGTTTGTGGTCCCCTTTGAAGGTGAGCTCGTACAGAGTGCCTTTATCCCTTTCTGTTCGGTAGATCCCTGTTAAGAGAAAAACAAGAGAAAACAGTCATAAAAATTAACCTTGGCTGCTGAGTGTTTTCTAACCAAGATCTAGCACAAAATGCCTTTTAAAAAAAAAAAATTAAGATTCAATCTCTACATCTAACAATTACTAGAAAACTCAAAACGCTCTCAACTAAAACTACCAAGAGAAATAAAAATATCAATGTAAGGATCATAGTTACCAAGACTTCATAAAGACATGGGAGAAAGCTGGTAATGTTAGCTACAAAACTGTATTTATAGTATACGGAGGCATTTAAAAAAGGACTGTTAGGAAATATGCCAAAATAAGACTATGATGTGGAGTAGGATTATGTGTTTTTTTCTTTAAGTGCTATTATCCAAATTTTCTGCAACATGATTAGAAGAATATCAGCCTCATTATATTTAATTTAAAAAGCATGTGTTACAATTATCTCTTAGAAATTATGATTAATCATGGCTGTTGCAGATGGATGGTAGTGATCTATTTGGGGGAACCTGGGAGTAGCTCAGGGCTGGTCACGTGGGTTGTGGGACCTTCTGGAAGCTTCTAAAAGCATTAAAACAGACAACATACAGAGTACCCAGTGCTTTTACGTGGGCACACATCATACTTAGTTTCCTATCTTCCTTCCTATCTGTAAGCAGAGCACATACTCCGAAGCCAGACTGCCCAGGCTCAAATCCTGGCCCTACAGGTTTACTTTGGGGCGTTACTCAACCTTTCTGCGTCTCATCTTACCCATGGGTCGCTCTGAGGAGTAAACAGTTGAATAGATGTAAGGAGGTTAGAACAGTATGTGGCACACAGCAAACCCTCAATAAATGTTCGTTGTCATCACAACCCTCCTTCAGAGGAGGTGCAGAAGCAGGAGAGATGTCTACTTCTGTACCCTCCGAACTGTGTTCCACCCTGTGTCACTGGTACGGCAACTCCACAGAGCGTCACTTGTTGCTGCAGATGCGAGCTCAGCATCTCGGCTGCACTCTCAGGGTGAGTCCCCCAGGGCCCAGATGACAGCATTTTCCTACTAATGAGCAAATGATGACCCCGATGCCCAAGATCCCTCTCCTTCCCAACATCACTGGTATTAGGGGTGTTTTCTCTATAGTCGGGAACAGAAAATACCAACAACGGTAAAATTCAACAATCACCAGATAAGCTTTTCTCTGTGATTTATGCAGTAGTCTCCCCTTACCCGTGATTTTGCTTTCCATGGTTTCAGATACCTGAGGTACAGTACGAGATATTGAGAGAGAGAGACACACACACACACAGACACTGCATTCATATAACTTATTACAGTATATTAATTGTTCTATTTTAGTATTAGGTATTGTCAGTCTCTTACTGTACCTAATTTATGAATCAAACTTTATCATCGATATGTATGATATAGCATAGTAGATATGGGATTCAACACTATCTATAGTTTCAGGCATCCACTGGGTGTCTTGGAACATTTCTCACTGCACCATGTTTTCTATTCCACGTCTCCTTCCTCTTAACCCCTACCTTAGCTGAGCGTGTACCTCCCAGTCTCTGAGTAGCAATAAAAACCTGCAGGGGAAAACGTCTACCTATAGTCAGTCAGAGTTTCTCAAGATCTCTCTCAAACTACTTCTCTTTCCTTCCTCACTCTCCCTCTTCTTGTCTTTTGTGGGAACTACACATCTTTCTTCACAAACATTGCCAAGTTCTCTTCTCTGTTCTTTGCCTTATAGGAGCTTTACAGCCCGTAACACCAGTTTTACAGCCTCTTTGATCCCGTTCAAAGTTTGGATCTCCTGGGGGTGCCACAGAGAAGAGTCTGGTGCTGGGAATTTTGCAGGCAGTCCCACGTCTCCCCGATGTCCCCTGGGCCTGCCTGAACATCCAAAACACGCAACCCACCGGCAGTGAGCACGGGTGGTATAAGAACCCAAGTACAGACTTACAAGGACTAAATTCTCTTCGTAAGCCTTCTCCGATCCCCGGGGTGGCAGGGCACACTGCTCAACTGCCCTCAGAGAACCTGAGAGAGTTTTGCTCAACTCATGTTGGAAAAGGATTCAGAGTCCTGCAGGGACCAGTCTTGGAAGAAAGTCAGCTTGTTTCTTAGGAAGCTCAAAAGACTTCTTTGAAACATTAAGTGGTTCCCTTCAAAGTCTCTTAATTCTTTCAGGCAAGTAGCACCACTGTGGAAACAGGCTCTTTCCCCACCTCTGACGTTGTCTAGAGCAACCAGGGGAACCACCAACTCCCAGGGGCCAAATGTGGTTGGGCTGAGTCAGAAAGGAGCCCCATTCGGTCACAGAGGGCATTATCAGCACGACTGAACCCAGGCCTGCCCGTGTGGGTGTCTGCGTCTCCTTGCGTTTCTGTGTCAGCAGCGTAACTTCTCCACGCAGCAGCAAACATGGAAATGACAGCTGACAATTTAATGTGCAGATAAAAATGTACGTGGGCTAGGGGGTGGTTTTTTTCAACTGAGTCATTTTCCTTCTTAGAGACAGGATAAGAATCATTAACGTTTTAAGATCTAAATCCACAGAGTTGAAAATATGGATAGCAATATACCCAAACCTGTCTCAAGAGATAGATATCTATTCATAAAGAACCCAGAGGATGTGATACTTCTTATGCATAACGATTCCACAACTATATGACACTAGCTGTCTTGGGGGTGCCTGCACCATCGGCCCAGTGTGACAGAGACCCCCAGCCATGGTCAGCGGTTCCTGTGCCCATTGGGAAGGTCGCAGCACCCAGGCTCACCTGGCACACTACAATTTCAGCTGCTTTCTGTCTTCCACATGCTGTGCCTTGAAACAGCCATTACATCAACGTTTTAGCATGTTTTCCCATATGCTGTCTAATTACCTTAATTGTCTTATGAATCTGATTTTAGATTCCTTAATTTCATCTATTTTAAATATATTATGTAAAACTCTTTTGCACCCTACGTCCACCAAGACCCACACCCAGCCATTCCCCCACCACGCCCATACTCCATCCCCGCACAGAGAAGCCACACTCAGTTTGTCTTCTTTAATGTCACCCGAACATCAATCAATCCTCTGGCTCCTGGAACTCTTCAGTGGTGGCAACACAAAGCAACTTAGAGAAAGAGGGGTGGAAGGCAAATGCAAAGTGAAGTGGCCACAGTAACACCTTCTTTGTGATGTTTTATAGAATACTATCATTTTAGGCACTACACAAATTAAAGACCAAAATCAGAACTGTGGAGCTAGCTTAGATCTTTGTTTAGACATCCTACTCAGCACCACTTTTTCCTTCCTTCCCTCCACAGGTGCTAAGCTTACTTTGAGTTTGGAGTGACAGCTCCCTGTGCCAGCATCCCAATGCTCATCTTATTGTACTCAAGGGGTCAGCTCTAGGGCCACCAACTAGGTAGAGGCACCTCCATGTATTCCAGACACATCTCTGTAGTCTGTTCCTGCAAATGTCTATTCCTTCGGTAGACCAGGAGCTAACCAGACACAGGCCCGTCTCTGTGCCCCGTCTTCAACTTATAACCTTGGAAATCATGACAGAACGAGAAAGGTACCACTCATTCGTGCCTGCCTTTCCTACCTTGCCACGTGGAGCCTGGGTCTCCCAGCTGGACAGCTGCCATCATCTGCCAACCCCATGCCAGCTCCAGGACCCAATCCGTCCCACATATGTGTTCTTTGGCCCTTCACCTGTCCCTGCTAACGCTCAGATCCTGCTTTTGCAGTAGCTCAAAGTAGCCACTGTGGGAAACGATTCAGCACTTCCCCCAAAAGTTAAACATAGCATTACCATATGATCCACCAACTCCATTATATATTTCTGGGTAGTGCCCAAGAGAATTAAAAACAAGGACCCAGATACCTGTGCACTCATTAGTCACAACAGCTGGAAGACAGAAACAACCCACATCTCCATCAAGAGATAAATGGATAAACAAATACGGTCTAGATGTACAACAGAATATCATTCTACCTTACAAAGGAAAGAAATTCCGACACACGCTACAACATGGATGAACCTTGGGGACATTATACCAAGTGAAAAAAGCCAGTCACAAAAAGACAAATAGTGTATGATTCCACTGATACGAGGCATCTGGAGTAGTCGACTTCATAGCGACAGTAGAAGAGAGGTTACCAGAGGCTGGGGGAGGGTGAACGGGACATTAGTGTTTAATGAGTACATAGTTTCTGTTTGAGAGGAGGAAAATGTTCTAGGGACGGATGGTGGCGATGGTTGCACAACAGTGTAAATGTACTTAGTGCTGCTAAACTGGACGCTTCAAACTGGCACGTTTTAAGTGATGTGTATTTCACCGCAGTAACTTTCTGTCTTCTAAAAAGGTTTCACACTTTCTCAAAGACACACAACTCCACGATTCATCTATGTATCCACCCCTCCTGCTCTGGGAAGATTCCCAGGATGTTCTCAATCCGAAGTGATCACTCATCCTCAGGCACTCTTCTCTTACAGCTTTTGAACGCTTCTCCCCGGAACTACTTGTTTGGCATATGAGAACATGAAGGGACCTCGGGGACCGTCTCACCCAGCCTTCTCATGTGACGGATGAGGAAACGGAGACCCAAAGAAGTTGTGATTTGCTTGTGTTCCCCTTACTTGTCAACGACTAGAACATACTGCCCCTGCCCTGCCCAGAGCCACTTTTCATATGTAACATGGACAGCTTAGAGCACAGAAAGGAATTTGGAACGTGAAAAACAGCTTCCAAAAGTCAGAACAAAGTCTGTAGTAAAACCCACTGTACTTAGCTCCCTGACCCACAGATACCCCTCACACCTACCCTTAGAGCTTCCCTTTTACTTTACCATATAATTTTGACAGTTACAACATAAATTACCCAAATTTCCATACATTGAAAGTAAAATTTTGAAAGAGGGGATTTTAATGGAAAAAGATATTTTTAGCAAGAAAAAGAAGAGTATTTGGGAAAAGAAAATCTGTAAGAGGCAGAAATGCTGACAGTAGTAAATAGTGA